CATTGAAATCTTAAAAGATACAGCACAATTATTTTTAATAGCTGCTGACACGTTCCAAAAGATATAGACTTCCCTATCAAGGTAATTTACTTCGGTATGCATAATATTATTTAAATTCTGTCAAATACTGAGCGCAACACAAATGATGAAGGTCCGAATTGGTAGGTAGCTTGACTGCGACATGACAGCAATGACAACGCCGGCTGTTGCTGGAAAAGAACTTAGTTCACTTTCAAGTTGCTGGACTAACGAGAACTGATTCGAATATTTACCTGGCGGCAAAACCTGGTAAGCAAGTGAAGGCTTCTGAGCATAATCGGTCCTACATGTCTTCATCAACTTGAGCTACAAGATCGCGCTTTACGATCGCTATCTAGTTTCAGTCACATTTCCTTTATCTGCAGTTTTCTTATTTTCATATATCAAGCACGACATATAGAGCATAAAACCATCTGCGCAGCAAGGCACATCCAACTGCTTCTATTTCTTATACTTCCCATAACATAATGAAGCAAACTACATGTTTAGGGTACTTAGGCGTTCCTACGTAAGCCTAAAATAAAAGAAACCCACGCATATACATGAAGTGAAAGCTGATAATGGGACAAAGCAGTGTGCATCGGGTCATAATTCTTGGCCTTCTATTTCATTTTGATGAACCACATTTTATTTGGTTCTTTTAGCCTTTTCGTCAGTGCTATGCTTTGATTGATGTGTGGTTTTATATCGGCGTTTGTACGGTGTTTCGGCCTTTTCTTTTGTTTTTTGTCTTTAAGAGCCTTTGATAACTTTTTTGTTGTTCACGGATGTGTCGGTGTGTTAACAAGCAGCTGCACTACAACTACTGTAGACGCCAGACGGTGGTTTAGTGACACTTTGAGGTCTTAAGAGGCTTCGCCCCTAAAATATTTAAGGGGCGGAATGTTGAGTTACAAAATATCTTGTGGAGCTATAGTAGGGTCCAGTTCCGTGTCTGTATCATACTGTTCCTAGCACCTCCAGCAGTATAGTCAGACACGATGTGCCACGTTGCGTAATAGGAAGAACTGGCATACCCCTGGGTACCTAACTATCATCGTCATTTTTCCCAGTTTCTGAATGCATAAAGATTATTTCACCTCACTATGCGGCATTTTCGTTTTCACAACAATTTTTTTTTATAAAAAAGGTTAGACCTAGGACAACGTCTGCCTTATTTCCGATATTTCACGGTTTCTCAAGTGCATTCTATATATTATTTTTGCTATGCCACACGCCAATATTGCATTTTCATCGCTTCCTTGAGAAACTTAATTGACCGCCATTTCCGCTTAAAACAGGATGACATCAATAATATAGAATCTCTAAGCACTCCCTGCATCATATTGAAAACGGGGCTTCTGATAGAGTATCTCGGAAAAACTTACCTTGTTTTGATATAGAATTGCTCTCTGCAATGCACATTGAAAAAATAAAGACCAAAAAAAGGGCTATCAACTTTACCTTACAAAAAAAATGATTCTTCTCTCGTCTCCAACAACTCTTATTGCAGACGTAGTTCTTGATCGAAGGATACGTGCGGAATCTCGAATGGCTGCCCACAAGCTTTGCGTCGTCTCAGGAGTGGCGATGCTTACCGCTGCAATTCATTTCAATTCAATTCATGGACGAAGCAGGTGTGACTGAATAAGCTTTCCTGGAGCACAAGTGTGTTGAAAGCGGGTAAAATCATTCGTTGCAATGGTCCTTCTCGCCGACAGCTCTCGATATAGGTGTAAACGAAAGAATCTGACACGATTACATTGCCACCTGCTTTTATGAAATCGAACTTGCCTTTGAAGATGCTGATGAACGGGTACCCATGAGTACCTATTAACGGTACCATTTCGAAGAAAATGTTTAGATGAGCTGTTTTGCCTAGCCTATGCAGCCTAAAATGAAAAGGTTGAAAATTCCACCGCATGCATGTAAAATATATATATGTCGCAACATACATACATGTGCATGCATGTCTTTTATGTATTTATCTTATTGTAGTACATCCACTTGACATGATACTTAATTGTAAGCAGCTCGACGATGTATTTGTAAATGTACAGCCGCACTCTAGATAGAGGAACGTGGACCGTCTTCACGCTGGTTCCATATTATTAGTAGGTCGATAGCTGCGAAGGCTTTATATATAGGACAGTAAACATCGACAACTTTCATTGATGGTCACCGCACAAATAAGCAACACACGAAAAAAAAAACAGTACAAGCCCTCGAGATAAGCGAAATGTATGGGTGGAGGGGCCTTAGTTAGGTGAAGGTAATCTGCCTTTAGTTCCTTCAACCTAGGTAATCATTGTTTTTGTCTGAATAAACAGTGAATGAATGAGATGCGCTGCCAATACCGTGACTGCACAGCTGCAGCAGCGGCGCTAAGTTGCCTTGGGTTTGCATCGCAATGACGTCTCGGCTGAATACAATAAGTTACAATTCGTACACATCGATATAAGACATGATTATCTAAATGTAGCAATTAAAGTATGCGAAGTGATCAATGCAATCCAGTCATGTGGAGCAATTAAGATAAACAGGGCGTTTGGTTATTGCTACGAAGACGCTGGCGTGATTCCAGGCGCCGACAGTCTCATTTCGATGGGAATGAAAACCTTTCACTTCAGTGCTCACAGTCGGTAAGAAATAATTCGCATCATTCATTACAGATTATTCCATGATAATTCAGCATTTTTTAAGAGGAAATACGCTAAACAAAGCTACGACTACCTCGAATGCACCACGATCGCACGGAATAGCTTTGCTTGTTTCTTTGTCCCAATTTTAGGTTTGGAAATAAATACTAAAGCGATCGTAAAGGCAGAAATGAAGATTGATTAATATGTCGGGTTTAACGTCCCAAAATCACCATATGATTATGACAGACGCCGTAGTGGAGGGCTCCGGAAATTTGGACCACCTGGGGTTCTTTATCGTGTACCAAAATCTGAGCACACGGGCCTACGACATTTCCGCCTCCATCAGACATGCAGCCGCCACAGCCGGGACTCGATCCCAGACCCTGTGGGTCAGCAGCCGAGTACCTTAGCCACTAGACCACCGCGGCGGGGCGTGTTAGCCGTTTCACACCTGAATAAATGCTTAATTGCGTGCATTGCAAAACTGAGCTGGCTTTCGTAGGTGTGTATGTGCCCCAGTAATCATGCAAACTCCAGCGCCCCACAAAAGCACTCATGTCGTGTCGCAGTGACAGGGCATCTGGCTGCGAAGGATTATTCAAAAGCGTTTCTATCTACAATTTTCTGCAACGAGTTTGGCTCAGCAACTATTAGCACTTTTTTCAATTGTCCACTGAAACACACGGTCATTTTCAACTTCAAAAAAAAAGACCGACGACACTACTAAGATCCTTTTCGGATTACAAGCAATGAAGTTATGCCTTGATTGCTTCAATGAACACATGGCGATGATACCGATGGCACATTACAGACGAGAGTAAGGGTATTGTATTTTTCCAGCATTTTACACTGTGAATATATTGCATACAGCGACATTTGTGTTTTAGCGGTGATTGCAGGCTATCGGAGAGGTCATTTGCTGTATTTCTGTAGCGTTTTTTTTATTTCTTCGTTATCAATCCTGAGCAGGGCCTTATTTTCGCAATCGTCTAAAACATTTATTTTTGCAGAAAGATTGCCTCCATATTCCAAAGCTGACCGACAAGGCTGTGAATTCTAAAGGACAGGGCATGCAGACACGCACACAAAAAAGAAGTCAAGACCCCTCGAACGCCGACTAATAACTCACGTTTTTTAGTAACACGTTGTTTACACACTTTTTAGTTGAATAACAACTTACATCAGTTCATTGATAGACCAGGTATTGGGTGCTTCAACTTCTTTTTTGGGTCCCTATTTCCGCGCCCTGCCTTTTAGACTGATTACCTACCAACTAGCTTGCTGCAAAGCTGTTTTTGAAGTTGAGCAATAGCTGGAGAGAGAAACAGATTTCTATTTACAGAAGGGCACAGATGTAGGCTTGACCAATATTATGCTCTGGCCTCCTACGATAAAGGTCATCACTGTGAAAATGACCTTGAGTTCTTCTAAAGTGGTATAAACTGTACCACACCTGATTGAACCGACAGAGCCACGTTTGGTAATATTACTCCGCGTGGTCCCTTAAATTCTCGATGAGTTTCGTAAGAAATGGGTTTTTTATGGGCAGATGGCAGCCTCACATGAGTTATTGTGTGCAGCGCGGAGTTTGCAATCAAATGCATACGTGCTTGCGTTTTTTTTTTGTCGAATATTTTGTCTAGAACAGGTATATACACCAGCCAAATGAACTGAAACCAAGGAGACACGCTAGCTTTGTATTGTTCATTGTTCGCAGGCGCCAAATATATAGAGGTTAAATAGTGAAGGAGAGAACACACTTTTCAGAATAAAAAGCGAGAATAAAAGTCTCTTAAGCATATTTCTGATTGAAAACACTATTATGACAAGCTCTACCACCTCGCAATTTCAAGCGTTATGTTTATCTTTAAAAATTCTTTTAAATGTTTACGCGCTTTAGTTTCAGTGCGTAGCAGGGCCTTTGAAGCTTTATAACAGCATTAGCTGCAAACGAAGGATTCACGCGGCATTTTATGAGAGAAGGTGTGTTGAAAAGCCAATTTGTGCACCTTTAGCACTCAAGAAAGCAGCTCTTAAGCTATAAATCATGCTTTTTTTATAAGTGTATAGGCATAAGAGGATAACTCCGGGATAATGCTCCAAGACAATGCGACACAGCAACGCTCTTCGATGTCGAGATCCATGAACAAGGCGAATCAAAAATTGTATAGTGGAATAAAGAGAATACAGCTGGTAGAATAGAGCGTCCGTGTTTTTAATCGTGACGTAAATTGCTAACGCTGTATTACATTGCGCTGCTGCTCCCGAGAATTCTCGTCATTATTTGTCTCACAGAACACAATAAGAAAACAAAAGGCTGTCAGCAGAGTTCTTGACAAGAGCGATAAGGCTGCGTTTTTACGTGTCCTTCGTACAAGCTACTGCGCGATGGCTTCATGGGCACGTTTAATCACACATCATCAGTTGTGGCTGGGACCTTCGCAAGAGAGGAAGAACTATTAGAAAATAACAGCCATGAAAGTAAATATTTTGACCATGCTCATCGCTGCTTCCTGCACTGCGGATTTAAACGGTGTGTACGCTGTGTACGTTTACTGTGTAATGTGAATACCTGAGTGTAAAGAAGTATTTGCAAAATGCACTGTCCTCTACCCTCCAATGCACGTCTATAGCTTTGCTTATGCCATGTTATAATATCGCATTGCTACGCTTAAGTCTCAAATTTGTCGACAGCAATCTTTTATTCAACTGCATATGTCATGTGTTAAAACACGACAATATAGATATAGCAGCAGACTAACGCACACCACGGAATATAAGTATTAAAAACGCTCATCATGTATAAATTTCAAATATCGAAGCGTAGCTCAGCGCGATGTACTAGATGCCTTCCTAGGAATATATGAGTTCATATTTAAAACAAGGTACAACAATGACAATGCTTCATTATGTAGCTTGTAGAACATCAATGCTCTCCCACTATTTTTTTAACTTCTGCAAAGTTTGAATTTTCAATGCACACGGCTGAAACCGGACCTTTTAGGATGAGGAATTTTCACATTGTTAGATATTTCTACCTGTTTATTTTATTCAGCAGCACGGCCTGCATTAGTGTGCATAACAAATATTCTATTGGAAGTGGCTGTAGAGAAAGCATGTTACAATATAACGTGATTAATTCCTTTACCCTAGAAATAGGTATACACTAAAGTGAAAAGCATGTTTGCAAGAGTAGTTCGATGTTATTTGGACACTAAGTAAGAGTTTCCACAATGTCTATGGCTGATAGTTGGTAATACAACTATTCGATGCGCCCGCACATACATTGACCACAAGTGGAACATCTACATTGCGACCACTAACGTCAGTAACAAAGCTTAAAGTTTTCTGGTAGGTAAACAGTTAACAAAAATTTTGCGCCAGGATAGTACAGACAAGCACACATTGAACTCTATAGTGCTAAATGCACTCATAGAAATCGTTGTCATTTGAGAAGAGAAACGGCTTGGTGTGCGCTCTTTTTAATTGGGTAACTGAAACTTGAACCATAGCTCGGTATACTCACTCATGAGTACACTCACTCACACACACTCATACTCATTTGAACAAGGTCAGTGTGAGTGTGAGTGAGTGTTCATGAGTGTGAGTATGAGTGAGTATGAAGGTAAGTGAGCCCTCCAAGTGGGATAAGAACTGATTATGAACGTGACAACTCCGAGTGTGATTAGAAATGTGTATGAACGTGAGTGACTACTCCGAGGGTGAGTAGAAGTGAGTATGACCATGAGTACTCATGAGTGTACGTAGGAGTGAGTATGAACGTGAGTGAGTACTTATAAGTGTGAGCAGGAGTGAGTATGAACGTGAGTGAGTACTCATAAGTGTGAGTAGGCATGAGTATGAACATCAGTGAGTACACCGAGTGTAAGTAGTCATGAGTATGAATGTGAGTGAGTACTCGAAAGTGTGAGTTAACGTGAGTGAGCACTCAGAGTATGAGTAGTCGTGAGTGTAAACGTGAGTAGGCCCACATGAGGATGATCGAGTAGGCGTGCGTATGAACGTGAATGAGTACACCTGAGTGTGAGTAGTCGTTAGCGTGAAGTGAGTGATTACTTATGAGTGTGAGTAGCCATGAGTTTGAACGGGAGTGAGCACTCATTAGGTCTAGTAGGCGTGAGTATGAATAATAGTTAATATTCATGAGTATGGGTAGATATACGTGATTCATAATGACCAACGGTTATCTTGCCTTTACTCTACGTGCCCTTCACGACGGCATTTCTGCTTGATTTTTTCTATGATGTCCTGAACAGTCGTTTGTTCCTTGATAAAACCCTCTCATATTATTGCGCCTATGGGATACACCTATCATTTTCCTTCCCATTGCTCGCTGCATCCTCCTCAACTTTAGTTGATCCCTCTTTGCTCTTTGTGTGCTCCAGGTTTCTGCTCGGTAGGTATATAGGTAGGGCAAGATATAGCAGTTATACACCTTCCGCTTGAGGGATATTGGCAATCAATCATTTATGATTTAGGAATGCTTGCCGAATATGCTCCACCCCGGACTTGTTCTTCTTGTTACTTCAATCTCGTGGTTCGGCTCCACAGTTCCTACCAGTTATAAAATGACGTACTATTTTGCAAATTCAAGTGCACTGTTACCTATCTCAAACCGCTGTTCTCTTCCGAGGTTGTGGTATATTACTTAAGTTTTCTGCAGATAAATATTGCCGATTCTCAGAGAACGCACGCGGGTTAAAGGGAGACAAAGTTAGGTGGCAGATCAGATAATGAAATTTGTGGGTGCAGAGTGGTAGCAGCAAGCTCAACAAAAAAAAACAATGCCATGGGGGATATTTGCGATTGTGACTCGTTGTGGAGTAATCAGCACAGTGATTGAATATAAATAAAGCGGGCAAAAGAAAATCCCCCAGATGGTAATAACTGAACCTGCAATCTTCGCATAACATTTCCGAACCTCTAACAATTGAGATAGATGGTGGTCATTTTGCCGTCTACACAAATGAACATTTTTGGGAGATGATTTAGACTCCAAACAAAAGTTTTGGAGATACCCGACGTTTCGAAAGCGACTTGATTTCTTCCTCAGGCTTTTTTTGATGGTGGGTAAGATTGTAGGCCCGGTTTTTAACGCGTGGCACGTTGCATTACAGCGGCGCTATTCAAGATTTGCAGGCTTGGGTTTGGCGTGAGATTTGGTAACCGAAGTGGTGCGAATGCCTTCCAGCAATTCGGATCAGCCATTGGAAAGGCAAAATCTGCTTTTAGAGCGGCTACCTCTGTGTACGGAGCGTGTATTCTGATTTTCATGATATACACAAAGGAATGAAATTGAGCTTTTGTTATTTATACTTCCCTCTGTGTACACAATCGTTTTCACAGAAGCACAAGCCCACACATTGTGCACAATATTTAAGCAGAAGCAGGATCATATGCAAAAGCGGCCTTCCGGACCCGGCGCTCCTGGTCATCTATGGTCCACCAAGCGTTGCGATTCGACAAGCGACGATCCACGAGAATGAGAGGTAACGGCTGTGCCAGCCGATCCTCGCGCATCGAATCGGAGAGCAGCTGCACCGCCAACTTCATCTGGCGTACCTTCACCCAATTGCCATATTGTACGCATTTTTATGTGACAGCACCCTCTCGGAAACTAGACAAGAAATGGAATGCCTGCAGCGCCTTCTAGTATATTCTCACCCAACTGCAGTGTACAGGCATCTCTAAGAGACAGCGTCATGTATTGTATGAAAACGGAGACGCTACTGGGTACAGAGAATGGTGGACGATTGACGCCGCTCGAGCACTGGCCAGGTCTCGCCATAAGAAGTTTCGCCCCTTACATTAAGACAATAGCTCCTCATTATTGATTTTGAGATAGGCAAAGAAAGGGCCTCTTGCACAACACAAACTTTCATCTGATTCTTTCTCGTGCACAAGTGTAGGTGCTGCTGCAACCACACGAATCAGCGGAATTTAACAGATATGAATGCATATTTACTTGTTCTGTGTGTTTCATTTTTTTAGTTTATTTTTGTACAAGTTATTCGTATCTGCTTCTTGCTTGGTGTGACTGCATAGTACACCTGTCTTTTTACAGCTGTTAGTCGTCTTCACTACATAATCCATTGATCAATTCATGTTGCAAACAAACATGTTTTTGTTTTGTTTCTCTTGTATTCTACAGCCGTTTTTTGTTATGAAAAGATGCTCTTTTCTCGCACCTTTCTCAGAGCAAAGGTGTGAAATCAAGCTAATTTAAGCGTTAATTTCATTCCGGAAAAGTACTTCGCAACATCGAATACATTTATATATCTTTTTCCGTACCTGTAATTGCACTTTAATTTACTCATTAGGAACTGAATCCAAGGAGCGTGACCGCACACAAACGTTGTGTGTGTTTGTGTGAGTGTGTGCGTGAAAAGGGTTGTAAACAGCATAGAAAAGAATACGCAGCGCTTTGAGTATTAAAAGTGAGAGACGAACAAGATACAAGCTTACCAGAATACAAGATATTGGTCCGCGCGACATAACACCATTGAGGCACGTCTGAAAAGAAGCAAGGTTAAACAAAACAAGTTGTAAATTTCACGTGCTTCTTTTCTTCAAAAGTATGAGCTTATACTGTGATTACAGTCACTAATTTATACGTACCTACAGCCCTCTGAGGGGAGGAGATTTTTATTCTGCGAAAATAAGCTCTTAGACGGCATAAATATGATGCATTCGTGAACGGCATTAGAATACAAAACTTCTGTTTCCCCAAGCAAAGTTTATGATAGGAGGTCACTCTGACAAAGTTACACCAACTCAACAAATAAGAACATCTTTCATGCGTCACATTTGCATCAATGTGGTTACTGTCACCTAAAATATCGTATACTTTGCCTAAATAAAATATTTCTATCGCTTTGAAAGTACTAAGACATTCACCGGTGAAATAGTCTTTGCAGTTTTTTGGTGTTAGACGACTTATTCCAGAATCCCGAAAATATATGTTCTTCAGCAAACCATCCTTGCTTTAGTGCACAGAACTAGATTAGAATGTATTTATTACACTACACCATAAAGCCTGGCTGCTCTTTAACTTGTTATTCACAGAACAATATACTTTACTATTTATCGAGCACACTTGTAATGATGCGATGAACATTTTATAACAGGTCCTCTCAATATAATCTAGAGGTGGAATGCATTCTTAATTTAGTTTGGCTTTTGTTTGCACAGCGACCATGCCGAGCCTATGATCTAAGCTCGAAAACTGCAAACCTGGAAGGTAGTGTACTCGTACACAAAATGAGTGCTGCATATATTCACGGCTTTACTTGCGTGTTAACTTTAACCCTCTTAACCACTCATGCCTTTTTGGGGCGTTAACTTGAACTAAAGGTTTTACTTTTCCCCACAGTGTATGTGGGCTGTGAGCATCGAGGCTCGCAATCGGTCGGCTTTTGTCGAATGAAATCAGCGGGGTTTTCTTTTTCTTTCTACTTTCCCTTTAACTTGAGAAACTCAAGGGGTTTCGGTAATATCGATGCCGTTAACAACGTTGCGAAACGGCCACAAACGCGAGAAACAAGCAGCAACAACTGCAGCGATTTCAAGCAGGTTCAAAACTTCGATCATCTCAACAGAGCTTCCGGCCGCCACCACACAGAGCCGCCACGGTACCTGCAAGTTGCGAAAAGCAAACGTTCCTATTTGTTGCTGTTTTCACAACGATTGCCTCCCTATTCCGACTTTGGGCGAAGGCTTCAGCGAAGTCTGTTCGATTGCTCGCCGCTCTCGGCTAATGCTACTATCGCAACACACCGAATTCTTAACAGTGGTAGCACCAGTGGGATGCAATGAAACAGAAAATCCTAACAGTGCATTCTTGGCATCGTTCCTGTGATTGATTGATTGATATGTGGGGTTTAACGTCCCAAAACCACCATATGATTATGAGAGACGCCGTAGTGGATGGCTCCGAAAATTTCGACCAGCTGGGGTTCTTTAACGTTCACCCAAGTCTGAGCACACGGGCCTACAACATTTCCGCCTCCATCGGAAATGCAGCCGCCGAAGCCGGGATTTGAACCCGCGACCTGCGGGTCAGCAGCCGAGTACCTTAGCCACTAGACCACCACGGCGGGGCCATCGTTCCTGTGTACATAAGTTGAAGACATTAACCTTTACGCTGTAGTGTCAACATTACAGCGTGTACAGAGCTTAGAAGATGGGTGCTTTGAGTAAAAAGGGCATTTAGTGGGAGACCGCAGCAATGAATCGAAGAAGAACGACTACTTCGGCTAGTTTTTTGAATTCCATAGCGAAAATTCTCGTATGACGTATATGCCTCGTCTCCAATAGTCTCGTATGAACACGTATGCATCATATCTTTTCTAGTACGATCACACAACATTATTTATTAGGTGTCATACGTGTCGATTGAGCATTTTGTTTTTACAGTTTAACGCCTATTCGGGCTGTATCCAACACAGCCTTCTTTCTTGCGTGCATGTTGAAGAGGCTTAGCGTGTGCTGCAGTAACTGGTCGCAGTCAACGCGTTTTTCTAGATTCCAATCTGCAACCAATAACTTTAAGCAGTTCCAGATCACATCCATAACCTATATATAAATGCTAAAGGCACGTATGTGCATAAGACGAGCGAAGGACGCAGGACAAGGTCGTCTTACATACGTGCCTTTAGCGCTTGCATAAGTTATGAATTAGTTCCAGCTAGCCCGAATCCAGTTGCTTCGAAGATCACACAGTGCTCAGCAAACTTTATGCTGCAGCGCACAATAAAAGTATGAACGAAGCCTATTGCCTTTTTTTCCCGCTCGGCGTCACTTACCGTGAAGCCTACCAGCAAGAGAATAACGCGTTTTCGCACACGACAGATCGCGCGTAGTTTCTTGGGAATTTCTCGAGACACAAGGCATTGTTTTTCTAATCGTTCGTACTCCGGAACGTGCCGCTTGTTTTTACCTTACCTGTCATGACACTATCATCTTACAACGTGAAGTAGACACGACTTGGGAGGAAAAATAACCGTTCACCAGAGTCCCCTGTAACTCCTGGTGTACTGCAGGCATGGTAATATTTCAACAGAATTGAAAGTTGGGCTAGTTGGAATGCGATTGTCCTCTCTTTCTTTGTGTTTCTTCGTGCGCTTAAACGACAGTTATACTATGGTAATGTTGTGCAGCAACATCCTAATGAAGTTTCTTTCTGATGCGCTGTATAAAACGTGCGACTAAAAGGTAACAGATGTAAGGTATTGTGAGTTAGTTTTTCGTAGCGCTTGTTCTTAATGATCTTCCTGAATGTATCATTAACGGCAATAATTTAGACATTGTTTCAAGCTACAAGAATCTTGGCGCAAAATGTACATTTAATTTTTCATGGTACTCTCATGTCAACTGTGGAAATTTCAATCTTAATCAAACGGTTTGGCTGTCTGCTCAATTTCTTTTTAAAAACACCTTCCCCGCTAAAGATACCTAATGCTAAACTTGCCTGTGCCTCGACTATATAAGTGTGCTATGGTACCCTGCCATTACCCCGGTCGTCAAAGTATTGAAATCAGACCAAAGTCGCGGGGCACGTTTCAACCACTCAAAATACGCAGCACATATTGTGTATGGTCTATAAAACATTCTTGGTCCTTCCAATACCTTCCTCATGCCAAAAAGTGTCCGGAATGGGTATAGAAACACTTTATTTAGGTCCGTCGGGGCTTGAACTAGCACGTATAGCGGGCCGCTGCCACGTCGGGACAGATAGGCCTAGCCTGTACGCTACGTCGTGGGCTCGTTGGACTTCCTATAGCTGCATCCTTAAATCTGTACTGCGCACAGTGATTGGTGTTATTTTCTTTCTCATAAAATTTCCCACAATTCAAAATTCAAACACGCCTTTTTTTTGAAACTGTGTCACATAGAAAACTGACCATAAGCTAACAGTACACGTACCTTTCTCATGTAGGAACGTAACGCTGCCATATTGCCAGTACCTCCAACTGCCAACGACTATTGCCCAACTGCCGCATATCACTGCTTTTGAGACTTCTGTTAAATCATACGCATATACACTTAGGAGTAATTTTTTTCTCTCATTCTTTTTGTTATTATGTATAAATCAGTCAATGAATAAAAAATAAATCAATAAAAACAATAAATACTTGAATTTTCAACGTGTCATCACGATTGTCGGATTGCCCATGGCTCCATAACCATCTCTTTTTTTCCGTCATATCTTTTTGCACACTGTGAAATATATTGAGACCAAGCGAACCACACTGCTCGCAGTTGCTGTCTCCAACGGAGATTGCGAAAAGGATGAAATTAAACTTTTTTTGTGGCCATTGCTAACTAGCTGCCTTCAGTCCACACAGCTCTGTGGTAACCTTTCCTCTTTATTTCCTTTACAGAACATGACCTTTATAGTTGTTCTGATGAACGACAACCTAGTAAGAATTCGCTTCTGGACCGAGCTTTGGAAAGATATATTTCTTCTGGACTAGTGATGAACGTGTCTATTCCCGACTTCAACGAAACTGTAGTCGTCGGCCGCAAGAAGTACGCTTTGCAGTTCTACAACGCAGCTATACTTGGCTTGCATTCCGTTCAAAGAATAGGCTGCAACTACTTTGAAGCAATGTGGAAACGAAAGGTGCAAGTCCGAATGGCTGTCCAGTTGCAAGGACTGAAGGCTACAGTCTCTGTTCGCCACAAAGGCTGGGCTGGATATACGAAGGTTACTATTTCAATCTATCTACCGGAGCTTCTTTTCATCGCCGAAATCAGTGAGTAAGTCAGCGATTTTTGCTATAGTGAAGACGTCCGCGTAGCTGGACACCCAGTAAATGCATATATCGCAAATTGTAAAATAATATCTAATTTACAGAAGCTTTTTTACTGACGGATGGATGATGATACTTAATTTATAGTCTAGAAAAGCGCGACTAGCGCGCGGTGGGCTGCTCCTACAGATTACTTAAAAAAATTTCTATATCACAATGGTGTATGCTAATGTGCCAAATAAGACTGCCGGGATGGTACACTGATTACAGAGCTCGGCTGCCAACCCGAACGACATGGATTTCAATACAACGCCACACTGGCATATTCGTTGGGGTGAAATGCTAGAAGTTCGTGTACTTAGAGGGAAATGGACGCTAAACAAGTCAAGGAAGTTTCCATTTTTGAAAATATCGCGCACGATATCTCCTTACAATATCGTGATTTTGGTACGTGCAACGCCATGCAATATCATTTTTTCGTTGGTTGATAGATTCATGAAAGCTTTCTTCTGTTAGTTGTCTATTGGGAACCTTAGTCACAGAAAATCATTTTCATTGTAGTGCACAGCCTAATTTTTTTCTGTTATAACTAAACAGACTGGAGGAAAATGACGGACTAAGATTCAGCCTCCTGACAACCTAGATGATATTTTCAAATTGTCGCGGATATAAGACTTCGCCCACAATGTTACAAAATAATGCATAGATACCATCTTTGGCTCTCATAGGCGTGATATCGGGATTTAAAAATCCCTGCCCAGCACTGCGAAAAGATTGTTACCCAGCGAAGCTCAAACGGGTGCCCACACGTGCTTGCAGAGATCGTAGTCAAAGCCAAAGTGCATTTCGCGAAACTCCTGCCAAAAGCGAGTGTGGGCCCTGGGCGAACGCGTTCCTATCATTGCCACGTCGACGTTGCGAAGCCGCTTCTTCGGCTCGCCCTGTACGCTTGCATTCGATTTCAAACGCTTTCACATCCTGGTTGCGCAGTTTATGCTCGCACTTCGTCACCCAGGCTCATTCTTGTGTCTGGGCTGCAGGACTGGCCCCGCGGACATGATTTCTATCACGGATCAGCTTTCTCACTGTTCTTGCAAAGTTTTCTCTCATTCGGGCGTTCCTACGATCTATGGCCTCCCCATGCATTAGCTGTCAGTTGAAACGGCTGCGGACGAGCAAGATGTCACGGCTACAAAGGGATGGACATCGTCTCTGAAACGCAACCAATGGAACGAATGCTTGGGTACTACGCTGATATAGGCGTCACTAACAGTGTTGCCAATGGCATGTGCGCTTTGGTACGACGTAGAATATGATGGAGCTGACAGCGAAGCCAATGGAGACCAATATCATTTTTCTAGGGAAAGGTATTTCGTTTAGCCGAGCCATATACAGATTTTGCTGTAAAAACACACATCTCAGTCTCATTAGGAGAATAAATGGCACAGGGAAGTCCGTATTCTTCGCGGGAACACTTAGAAGTTGTGTCAGAAGCTAGGCGATTAAAAAGGTTGACAATGCTGACTGGCGCACAGAATCGAACGGCGTGATACGCAGCCATGAATGTTTGAAGCACTTGGATGCCAGGTTGCACAATTAGCGATCCACAGCTGTCTTCCTCCGTATTGCACTTAGTGTAATTTATATCGATGTCTATTACACGTGTATCATATAAAAGTCCATTCGTGATCACATTGTTAGCATTTTAATGAACTTTTAGTAATGCATGAAAATATGTTTACTAAGTATCAAAAGCCCCATGGCTAAATGTAATGTGCACTGGTGATATGCAGAAATGTAGACTTTGTTCACCGATTTACAGGAATTACGAGGTGCTCCAGCTGACGCGGTTTGAAGTCGCCGGTATTGAGAAGCTCAAACTCAAATTTACCTTCCTGACGGGTGTTCTTCGAATACTAAACAAAATGAACAAACTGCAAGAATGCATTAACAGGAAGATTAATCAGAAACTGCTTACTGAACTTCCCAAGGCTATTCAAGGAATCCTAGATGAACTTGGACAGCGGCATACAGGAGAGATAGGTAAGGATTTATTTATTCTGGAAAAGCAAGTCGCGAAAATTGACAACCAGTTCGTAGAGTAAAATCAAATGAAGTATATAGAACGAATCAATTATGAAAAGCTTTGGCAGATTTTAGGTTTTTTGGGAATTGAAAATGTGGGAAGCGTGAGAATGAAAGGGAGTGTGTTATTTTTTTTTATTAGGCGCAGTGTTTGTCAAACTACCGATATAATACTCAAAAAATGTACACCATTTTTGTTAAATAGACTTTCTACACAGCTTTAAGCGTTAGCACCCCCAATTACAGTGACGATTATCTGTGCGCAATGATAGTTTTGAAGACAACAAGCTAGCAAATTGATGAAATTTATCATCATTACTATTTATTGTAGGATGAAATAATATTAACGCAAGCTGTGGCTTGTCCGTGGTTGATATTTTGTTAACGACGACTGATGTTTTGGTGTTCGGTGCTTGTGTATGTTGCAATATACTTCGATGTGTCTATTTGTGCCTAAATCCCCTTTTCAGTGACCAGCGCAATTATTTTCATGACTTATTTATGAACACCGTGTAGAAGGAGTAGCTGGGCTGCCCAATTTTCGTACCGAATATTAAGTCTTTATACAAAGTGCCAAATTTACCGAGACGTAATTTTAATGCGTTAAATATAACGTCGTTTAAACATGGTCAAGCCGAGGAAATGCAAACAATATAATAATTAACTATTGCGTGATTCTCCATGTGGCGTCTAAATGATGATGAGAAATATTTTCCGTTCAATGACAAACTTAAAATAAGAAATGTGCTTTGCCCAAATATCAAACGCAAAAGGCTGCATTTTCGAACCAAAAGCGAAGCTATGATAGCCAGAGACTGGTATAACGCGAGAGACCAAGATAATTTACTAGTTTTATTGTTGCCAATTCTACCACAAATATTCGCAAAATCAAAAGTGTTCCACATGCTTCAAAGTTAGCACATCCCAGTCACTGGCCGCAAGTATACGATTATAATAAAGATGTTTCACACCCCAACGCTAACCTCATAAGCAGAGGGTTTCTCACTCCCTGCGTTTGGTGCAGAGTGAAAAGCAGCGACCTTAAAAAATACCCTCGCTCTTACATGGTACCTGATAAGCCCGCTGCCATCTCGATACGCACAGTCTATTTATACGCCGCTGATCTGAGATATATGCGGAAGCTCTCAGCGCAACGCTGTCGTGCAAGCAGCTCTAACGCACAGCTGAACGGGGCAAAAGCGTAGCTGCCACTAAAATGCTGACTACACCAAGAGTAAAGCCGTTCACCAGTCCACATTGCCGAGTCTCGCATCCTCAGCGTTGTACACTGATTATCCACCACTGCGCCTGGCCTTGGTGCTCACCAACCTCCCTCGCAGGTCGAAGGCGCTCGACAAAAGAGTTTAGAAGCCAACGGCCGCGTCGGTCATCCGCGGCTCAATATAGCTAGCGCTTACGCGCGCATAAGCTTAACACGAATGACGAGCACTGAAATTGTAACGATTTGATATTTCGTTAAAAAGAACATGCAGAACGCACACTTTTGGGTGGAATGCGTGTCGCGTTATCACCACATAACCTGAGAAAATAAAACTGTTACGCTTTTGGATCCCGGCCTAAAGCCAAAGCTTGATGAATTATGTGCTCTACAAGTTCAAGTGAATTGATTGAACAATGTTGTTTGACAGCATATCGGGCTAGGTGCTGGCCCTAGGTCGTGTTATTTTTTCTTTGCACTTCAATTTACATTTTTTCAACGAGAGCGCGACGTTTCCAGCGACCTTAGCAATTCACTATAGTATTGTTATTTGTACCTCATAAAGCACAATGCACTGTGTTTTGCGATGAGATATTTATGGAATGTGTAATAGTAATAGCGCAAACAGGTTTGGATCTTCACTAATCATAGGTCGTTGATCATTGGTCTAATGCGTGACTTTATACAAGTATGGCTCTAGATTGCTGCGAATCGAGTACCTCAAATTTGTACGTAATGGTGTTCACCGAAAGAGGTACATGAATAAAATGTAAGGCGGGGAAAACCACCAAAGACCTGTCCTGTTTGTTATCCTGTCCAGAGGAAGAGCTAGTGGAGCATTAGGGAAGGAAAAAAATCAGAGTGATATTGGTTTCTGCATTTTCTTTTCGTTAACAAAAGTAGGCTTCTTAGATTGAGGTATGTGTTCGAAGGGCACCGAAAGGAAAACGCATCCTATGTCTAGGAAGTGATAAGTGACAACGTTTTGGGGGCCACCACACGTTGAACAGTTTGCGAAAAAGTCAATCTGTTCGTAATGATAATAGCGCGCTACACTCGGCTTAAAATAATAAAACAGCACATCAGCCCATGTGTATGAGAGCGGTAAGAGTGCACTGAAGACGAACACAAATTGACAACACACGCACACAGATGACACAGCTCACGAGAACGTTTCTGAACCTAAGCATTCTTAGCCGTCAAAACATGAGAATATCTGTCGAGCAGAAGTAACAATAGCATTACTAGGCGTCATGAAGGACACCAAGAAAATCTATTTTTTTTTCGTCAGTGCGTTAAAAAGCTTGCTAATACACTTGTCTTGAATCTCTTCTATATAACCTGCACCCGTAATAGCGAATGTGAGCTTACTTCTTTCCACAGTTCTGCACGTGTCGAACAAAGGAAGGCAACCGCACTTTCAATGCATTGCTAGGGAGCCATCTGTTTCTTTTCTATCATTGCAACGGGGCTCAGGCCACCGGTTGTTCAGCCAGCGACCAGTTTTTCTGACGTAGCTCAGACCACAAGACAGTGGAAGGCAACACTCCAAAATGTGTAGTAAGCTTCTAACATGAGACATGGTGGCCTAAGGCAGAGCTCTAGCACGGCAAAACTTTTTTCACAACTATTTCGTTGGCCGAACTCTGACGCAGACAATCTACTAGCTGTAGCGCATCTTGAGCGGGTGACAGAATCATCATACTTTAATACACGTGGGTAGCATCACCACTGAATCGACCACGGCGGCGACATTTTTGTATTTCACTGTTGACTCATCCTTATTAGGTGATTAGGTGTGTTTTTCAATAGCTTCAGCGTCGTGCTTCAAACGACATCGTGAGATACTATTGTACAATTAAATGTACTTCCTTCCGCAGGACAGGCAAGTTTTGCTGGCCTGGGTGTGTTGCAAAGGAGTTGTAGAAGACGGTTGTTGCAAGCACGTAGTCTATACTTACAAGTTATAAGCTCTGGCGAGTGAGGTTGACATCACCATCGTCGGCGTGGTTTTTTTTTGCATAATTTTCTTGATGCGAGAGTCTTGCACCATACGCATTAGTATCGCGAATTTTCTTCTAATCAGGGCACGCTCCTCCCAAGAGCCATCAATTCTGAACTTTTAGTCATTCAGTGGCACTCCATATTTCTTTGCTGCGACGAATCGTGTGACAATATGCTCTGAAGCAGCGGAAACATAATGTAGCGCTTATCCCAGCTTCGCGTTTTTCCAGCAACCGAGCTGCATTGGTGTGAAGCGACGGATGACATTGCGAAAATGTTACACGTAGAAGGACGATAGACGTAAGTCAACTTGTATATCACACTCTCACAACGCGGCTTTTAAGTGCAAGAAAGTGCAGGAATAGCCTCAACAGCAACTCTTTTTATTATAAGTATTGGCGAATCGGGATCTAGTAGAGGGCCCTTATAGTAGACTCTTTGCAAGGTTGAACTCAAGAGTAGGCTTACACACCATTGAAGGTGGCAGTTGCCTAGCGCAGATTCAATACAGTTTTATATTGAACGTCAATAGCCAACATGGCAGAGTTGAACGTGATGTCTCCTTTATCTCTTGAAACCAGTGCTTTACGACATATTAATACCCTTTCCCTTTCGAGAGGACTACTAGTGGCGAGCACTCGCATGCAAACAACTGTAAATTTTTGAGGTTACGACATCACCGGCCCTTGTTTGCTTAGCCGTCTCCACTCTGTCGTGCGGCTCATCTTACTCTTGAAGTTGTCGACAAACAATACAACGGTGTCAAAAAACTAGATCGAGGTGTCACGGGTGTCCACGCTTGCTTCGTCGCTTGCTGCTACGCATCCTGAACGGAGCCGTTGCAGAAGATGCCGCCCAATGTTGACTCGGGGTGCATTGGCCGTCCATAAAAGAAAGGCTGGTTACGGTCAGTAGTTGCAAAAATCAAAGGGAAATCGGCACGTTTTCGGATCCTCGAACATTTGTAGTTCAGAATCTTTCACGTCCAACGAGGAGCTTACCTGTTCTGTGGCATGCGTCCTTGCTTTGATAGCTGAAGTTTCTTTTTTTTCGCGCCAAAGACAGGAGACCTGTGTGTGAAAAAGTACACTCTAAGGTGCAAAGGGGTCTGTGATTTTTCCTTTTGTGGAGTAACTGCGTTGCCACGACAGTTACTCTCCAAAGGATCAACAGTTCGTCTTTGAGGAAGTAACCCTCAGGGGACGAAGTGCTAGCTTTCAAAAATTTAGAGGGGTGAAATGTTGAGCTGTAAAGTTACCCTTTTACAGTTGGAACTTATTTACTACACTCCTTGCATGGCAACTGCGTAGAGACACACTGTTAGCTATGGTAAAAGTAACCTTCTCGATAAAAAATCAATTCACCATAATTTCTGGTTGAATTCACAAGAAGCTGAAGCTTAACACATGCATTTGCCTACATGTACCTGTGAATACACAGAAGAAATTTTACAAGTAAACAACAAAAAATTCGTGACAAGCACACATAATTCTAATTGTTGACCATTGAATCAGCAGTCATCTACGCTAACCGTTATACTGCACTTTGTTACGTAGTAAAGTGAAAATTACCGGAGTTATACAGGCAGGCACCACCTGGACGCTGCGCGTTCTGCCTTGTTAGTCAAAGTAGCAAGATCCCTTATTTTAGAATTTAAACTTCAGTGCTTCGCAAGCATCCATTCGGCGATGGTGTTTATCAAAATGTTAAATGCATTGAAATGTTTTTTTTTCTGGGCGCGTGCTTCGAGCTTATTTGCGTGCTTGATGAATGTATGTACAAATAAAAGTTGGTATGTAGGCTCACGTTGCTGCGACAAGCTTGGTCGCTTCTCATTGTACAGAACATGGTTGGTTACAATGTTCAGCGAAAATCTTGGCTTAGTGACAGAAAAACGAAAGCGTCTAAAGAAAGAGCCAAGATTATTGAGGGACTCTGGTCAATTCTGCATCACCGTGCCTACACATAAATTCAATAACTTTGGTGAATACAGGAGATAGGATAGCTTCCCTGAATACTCGGAGAGACAAAGAAAAGTACAATCTTTTAATGCAATGGATGCTGTCCAGCCGGCTTGAGGACCACCACCCACATCATCGACAGCTGCTGAGAGCATGTTCCCAGCTGCAAGATATGCACATTTCTCGTGATGCTCAACTTTTTCGGTCATTGATTTACGAAAAAAGTAATTGCACAAGCATTGATTATTTTTGGCCTCTGTAGTTATGCCCCGTGACGTCTCTTAGAAATGTCACATGTACAAAAAAATAGGAGCCCGTCCTCGAGTTTGGCACTTTAAGCTTTCACAACGATTGGATAATGAGCCCACTTATTTATCAATGAAGAATGCTTCTCATTTTAGATATGAAAAAAGAAATATTCTTTACTTTATCACATGCAGTGCATCCTTAATGACGGCTATAAGAACTCGAAAACTATACCTGCAGTAATAATGAAGAACACGTCTTTAAAAAACATCTGTCGCGATGTTGCCTGAAACAGCCAACTTATTGCACTAGTATATTATCGTATCTGGGTGCAAGATAACACCGTCACTGTTCTCACCATGCGTTATCATTGCAACGATACTTTGCAGATTTCAACGGCACTACTTGTTACTTTATTTCATGAACTTTTTCTTATGTTTCCGTCATTTGCAGCACAATGCGCGGATTGCACTACGTTTGATGTCTATATAAACAATGCGCTGACGAAGTTCGGCCTGGACCCTACGCCATTGCCGAAAATCACACAACAGCTCTTCGCAAGCCTTGTTCAGGTCGAGGTTATTAATGCAACCATCCGAGGTCTGTCCAAGACGCGCCAAACTGGTGACATCGTCCTTAGGATCGACAAATATGGTGCACGCGCCCATGTTGACGTGACCGTCAAGAATCTGTCACTGGCATTTCATGTCAGTTTCAAGACGCTGCTGACTGATTATACGGCGATCGTGAGCGTAACCATCTCAGCCAGGACACTCCTCGTGGTTATCGAGTAAGTACAGCTACTACTCATATTAACAAGAAGACAAAATAAAGGTTTTATTTCTTTCGTAACATAACAGAAAGGTAGGAAGAGCAAAAGGCACCAAGGCCTGACAGATGCTCCTGCTCCGTTCACAAACTTGGCTGCAGCTGACAGAATATTTGCACGATGATGCATTACCATCCTATAGTAGATGGTGGTGGTGTTGCAAAGACTGGGTTAGCCTGGCTTAAAAGACCAGCAATTGTTCTGCCTGGCATCTCTTAATTTAAGGGGGTCAGTCACCAAATGTCTCTCAGTACAGTGTCTCGCAAGAACGTAATCAGGATACGTTGCACGCTCTTCCTCGTCGCCGTGGGTCCTTCAGGAAAGATGGCAACTTCCAATCCCTTGTGCTTGTGACAACCTTTTTGTAAGCTGTGTATGATCCCTTTTCTTCCTCTGTCAAACTGCGGGCACAGCCAAATGAAATGTTGATGTCACCGATGTCTCCACAAACAGCACAAAAAGGGGAAGCACCTCGCCCAGTCTTGAATCACCAAGCCAGCGTGTATGCGGAGTCGGTTCTCATCCGATGAAGTAGCGTCGCTTGTTCTGTCGAAAGTCCATTGATTACGCATGACTGATGCGGAAACTTGTGGATCGTCCACAAGTGATTGCGTATAACATTCCCGTTCTTCTGACAATTTTTAGGAGCTCTTATTTTTGGAACGCCAGTTCGAGCTTCGCGTGCAAGGGCATCGGCTTTTTCATTCCTTTGATTACAACGTGGGATGGTATCCACTGATATTGTACATTGAAGTTCTTGCCGATCAGGTGTTTAATGAGCGCCAGAGATTGTCTTGTAAATTTTTTTTTCGAGGTATCCCTCGATGCAGTCGCTTTAATGCCGACTATGAATCAGTCAACACTACCACAGCTCGTGCAGAAAGCGTTGTGATTGTCGCAAAGACGCGGTGACTGCTGCACTTTCGACTGTTGTGGAAGACAGAAAATGATCCAGGCGGCCTGACAATGGCACGCCCAGGGAGGGTATGCAGAAAGCGGCTGTGCAGCTATCTGTCTGTGTTCACACCGATCCATCTGTGTAAACTTGTAGGTGACCACGGTACATGGTGCTCAAATGGTACAACACCACAAACTTCGCTTCCTCAGTTGGAACAGTGCGTTTCCCTGGCAGGGACCATCCTGTAATATAACACAACAAAATATCATATCTCATGAAGCAAGAATATATATGCAATATTTCAACACAGTGTGCGATTCAAGTTATCCGCCACTAACACAACTAGCACTCCACTAGCAGCACACTTCAAGAAGACTAGAAACGAAAGGAAGTCAGCTAAATCTGAATTTGCTTTGAGTTAACAATGACCTAAACAGACCCTTATGAATGCTTTGAAGTCGGTAAATTCTCGATGATTTAGCAATACCAATATTTGATAAAAAATTTTCTGGCATAGTGGGTCCTTCTCCGCGTGGTTCGAATAAGTATTGCCACATTCGTTCTTCTAGTTTTGTTGTCGCCCCGTTGCACCCTAAGAATGTTTAGCGCAAACCACGCTTGCAGTGTTCGAGAAGCTTCGGGGCTGTAGTAGATCACTTTGTTAAGATTACGCATGCAACGCTAACATTGCAGATTATTTTGAAACACACGTGGTAGCCAGTGATAACGCTGGAATATTCGACGGCAAATAAATAAATGCCGAGGAGCTTCACCGCTTGTCAGTTGATCGATGAACGACGCTCCATTCGCCGCAATTAGTGTCAGTGTGTGTCTCCTTAGTCTGACTTTTCGTTGACCGGCCACAAGTTCGACCGGATAAACAGCTTGATCTTCGAAGTAAGGTCTGCTCCCTTCGTCGACGTCACGATCCTGTGATACTATGAACTTAGTATGTTTAATGTGTGGCGCAACCAGCAGACCTTATGCTTCATTTTCATTTATTAGGAGTAACTTACGCCTCACAAGAGCCATCAAAATACATGACTTCTGAGCGTTTGTACAAGAATTTCAAGGTTGCGTTGCCGCCCTCCTATTCGTTTTGCTTGTTTTCTTGCTTACCAAGAGTCTTCCTGGGGCGAGCGAGGTGACTTTGGAATTTTGCAAGGGCTATTTCCTAAAAGCAGAGAAGTCGTTTCCTTTTTTCGTGTCCCTATAAAGTTTCCCTCTGCGACATGGTGAACTGTTCTTTTTATATAGTACAATACGTGCTTATACTTTCTCCATTTTTTAAAATCTTACTTCTTCGATCCTTATGTGTCTCGCTCACGGTTTTCCTTGAAAGTTCACTTCAACGTAATTCAAGGAAGAACACTAAAATTTCATTAAAATAAAAGTTCACCGAACTTAAATAGGTATGTTGCATCTTCTTAACAAGAACAGCAAATGTCGCCTGCCTGCGGTGCCGCTGAAGGGTGACACTATTCTGTGCCATATAAGTGCCGCGTGTTTCTCGACTTGTTCCGGTGTGCTAAACTCTGGCTCCCCCAGCTCACGTTGGGAGTTTTTGCAACCACCGCCTTTCATAGTAGCCTGATCTCCGCGTGCCGATCTCCGCCGATCTCCGCGTGCCGGCCACCACGCACGCCTGTCCGTTTACGCCACACCTCACCGGCCTCTGATGGATGTTTGACGTCGTCTTCTACGATCTCAATCATTGCGCCGATGCACGCGTTCACTCGCTGGAAAACTAGTCGGTGAGGCTAATTGGGGTAAGGGTGCGAAATACCAAACGTCATCTACAAATGTACCTCTGTGAGAATTTATGTTGAAGGTCAAACTAAAACATGGTATTTTAACCTCCAATTTCTTCTCTAATAATCAAATTATAATGGTAAGAACAATTATATTACAGCTCCTAAAGAACAGTTTACCAATCAAAACAAATTCACTGTTTTACCTAAGCGTTCCTTTGTTCTTCCTAAACCATCACGCACCCTTTATGGTTGTCTTCTTCGACTTCTCCGTCTTTTCCCTCGTCTGCTTGTTTCTTAGAACACGTGGGCCAATGCGCAAGAAACGCTACGTTTGAAGTATCAGCAATACTAAATTTTCCGCATATTCTAGATTAGTAATTCTCCCTGTGTCGTAGGTATCAAAGGATCATTGTCATGAACCGGCGTGCGCTGTCTTCGTCCTATTCGTCATGTGCGCCTTCGTCTTCTCTCTCCTTTGATTTGCTTGCAGATTCAGCACGCCTATGTATTGAGCCCCGAATGCCATCGGTCTGTTGTGCGAGATAAAGTGAAAGAGGGAGAGAGAGAAAAAGAGAACGCTAGATAGACGCGAAAAGAGCAGGCACGGCCACCCATGCCTTCTAAAAACTGGTGAGGGTCTCGCAGCAGTCAGCGTTCTTTTACCTTCGAAAAGCATTGGATGCGGTAAAGTGCCCTCTATGTGAGAGGAAACAATAAATGTGTTCTAAATGCCCCTCTATCTGAGTGAGTGTAATGTCCACACACTCTTCTGGCATAAGGAAGTAAAATGCAGTTATACTCCTGTTTCTGATCTACATCAATACGCCGGCATACCACGAGGGCTGAAACTTCCTTATTAGCCGCATTTATATGCGGTAACCGCGCGCTGAGTGTGCTTAAAGTACGTTCCTTTGCACGGGAAAGCTTAATATCAATCAATCAATCAATCAATAATTTGATTTCTTTTTGATAAGGTGGAGCAGGACTAAAATCTGAAGAGCTTGACGAGGTCCTGACCCCGTTTACAAGTTGACAAAGCAGCAGGAATGGCATACAATCGTGCACAACAAATATGAAATAAACATATAGGTATAACATCACAAAAAGTAATACAAAAAGTTTATGAAAACAGTGCTTAGATAAAAAGAGAATAGTTCAAATGTATGGTCATTAGGTGGCATGAACATGAAAAGCTATAATAAAAAGGAAAGATTAGGCATAAATTCTGAGAGATGTATCATTGAGGAAAATGTATCAGTTGGGCGAAGTGTTTAATCTGACAGTTTTTTTTAAGGAAGGATCGAAATCTTCGCGGTTTAAAAAATTAACAAAGAAGGTAGACTGTAGGACAATGATTGTTTCTCATAAAAAGCTCTTGGGGTGGGTACAGTCCAAACTTCTTTGTGCCTGGTGAGTCGAACACTTGTGTTTACGCTAGGTTTAGCAAGATTTATTGTGGTATTGGTACCATGTTTGACAAACTCTTTATAGCATAACATCAGCCTGTAATTGTAGAAAAAGAAAACTGAAAGAATATCATATTTTAGAAAAAGAAGTTTTGTAGAGGACAGATAGTGTTCAGCCGCTATAGGTCATACGACCTTTTTCCGTAGTAAGTGCAACTTGCGCAAATTCGTCACAGCGGTCGTGCACCACACTAAGCTACAGTACTGTAACAAAGATAATAACAGTACATTTTGTACCATAATTTTCACCTTAGTGGGTAGAAGATATCGCATACGTGCAAGGACACCAATGGCCGATAACATCATAGTGTATAGAATATCAACATGTACATTCCACGTAAAGTGTCGTAAAAAATATACACCAAGAATACTAACAGAATCAATCATGTCTAACTGCTGAGAGCACAGAAATAAGCTCATCTTATTTACCAAGGTTTTTCCTTTAGGCGCATATAAAATGACTTGTGTTTTTGAAGGGTTTAGTTACAGTAAATTCACTGAAGCCCACGTATCTATAGCAGACAGTGTTTTATTAGCCATTTCTTCTATCTCTGTTTCCATGCTCCCTGCAATAACAACTGTTGTGTCATCGGCGTAAGAGACAAATGTTGCGTTGTTTGTGCAGTGTATAATGTCATAAATATAAATCAAAAATAAAAGTGGCCCTGAAATACTTACTTGTGGCACACCTACGTATTCAGCTCCGAAAGTGTGCAGTTAAATGAGCAAATACGACCTCTTTGAGTTTGTACGAGCTCATGCGTAAGCTACATTCGAACGGTAATGAATTTATCCGTAATTTAATTATCATGTTTTTACTATAAGAATCGCGCGCGGAGCATG